TTTTAGTAGAGACAGGGTTTCACTGTGTTAGCCAGGATGGTCTCGATCTCCTGACCTCGTGATCTGCCCGTCTCGGCCTCCCAAAGTGCTGGGATCCAAAAATAATTTTCAAAGTTAAAAAAACTTTTACATTTGTTTTCAGAGACTCAGAGTTTATTCATCTGCCACAGATCCATTTACTGACAGGTAGATTGCTATTTATAGTGTGTTATACGCTCATATGAATTCTCGCTACCAGTAGCTTCTTAGATTGGAGATGGCAGTTTTAATGACAGCCTCCCTCCTAGTAGAGCCTCAAAGAAAAGGTCTTTGTTGTTAAGAGAAATTGTAGAGGATAATCACTTTTTAAAAAGTCCATCTGTCAAAAAAGTCAGCTACAAGAGGGCAAGATACAGATCCTTGATTAAACACTTTAAATCAGCAGATAATTACCGGGAAGTTTTAAATCTACTGTTGGTGGATGTTTAAATTGGTGTAGGCTGAGCATGGTGGCTCATGCCTATAATCCCAGTACTTTTGGAGGCTGAGGTGAGTGGATCACTTGAGCCCAGGAGTTCAACACCAGCCTAGTCAACATGTTGAAACCCCATCTCTACAAAAAAAAAAAGCACAAAAAATTAGCTGTGCATAGAGGCACTCACCTGTAGTCCCAGCTACTCAGGAGGCTGATTGAGGTGGGAGGATCACCTGAGCTCAGGAGTTTGCGGCTATAGTAAGCCATGATCACCACTACCCTCCAGCCTGGGAGACAGAGTGAAACCCTGTCTCAACAACAACAACAACAAAGATGTAAAGTATTTGAAGAGCAATTTTGTAATATATATATAAATTTTAAGTGCATATCCCCTTGATCTGGCAATTTCATTTGTAGGAATTTATTATGCAGATTGTATTACTTTTTGAATGCTGCATAAAAAATTATCACAAATTTAGTGGCTTAAAAGAACACATTTATTATCTCATAGTTATTGTAGGTCAGAAGTCCAGGCCACAGTGCGGCTAGATTCTCTGTATAGAATCTCAGTGAAATCAAGGTGTTTCCAGGGTTTCAGTTCTTACCTGGGGCTTGGGGTCTTTATCCAAGGTTGGCAGTCCTTGTAACTGTAGGATTAAGGTCCCTGTTGTCTTGTTAGCTGTTGACCAGGGATGACTCTCAGCTTCTGGATATTGCTTGCAGTTCCATAACATGTAGCCTCCAGTGGTAGTTCGCAATATGAATGTTTGCTTTTTTCCAGGCCGCCCTGAATGCATCTCTCTGACGTTCTCTTCTGTGATCAACTAGCTGGAAAGAAACCCTCACTCAGTTTTTAAAAGGCTCATCTTAGGTCAAGCATGGTGGCTCATGCCTGTAATTTCAGCACTTTGGGAGGCCAAAGGGGAGAGGATCACTTGAGGCCAGGAGTTCAAGACTAGCCTGAGCAACACAGTGAGACCTCCTCTCTACCAAAAAGAAAATTAAAAACTTAAAATTCAGTCAGCCTGCATGGTGGTGCAAGCCTGTAGGCCCAGCCATTTAAGAAGCTGAGACTGAAGGATAGATTGAGCGTAGGTGTTTGAGATTACAGTGGGCTGTGATTGTGCCACTGCATTCTAGCCTGAGTGACAGAGTGAGACCCTGTCCCTAAAAATAAATAAGTAAATAAATAAATTTTAAATTTATTTATTTTAAATTAGATCAGGCCCTCCCAGGGTAGTCTTTCTTTTGCCATATAATGGGACAAAATAATGGGAGTCTCATCATACTTACAGTTTTCATCCACTGAAAGAGGAGTGGATTATACATACAAAGATGTAGATCAATTCAGGTCATTTTAGAATTCATCTACCACACAAATATACTCACAAAAAGACAGTAAGATACGGATGCTTAAGGATGTTCACTGCAGTGTTAATTATAACAACAACAACAACAACAACAAAAAGATAATCTAAATGTCGACAAGACAGTGATGAATAATACGCTTTTTAACAATGGAATGCTAGGCAGCTATTGAAAGACCAAGGTGGCCAGGTGCAGTGGCTTATGCCACACTTTGGGAGGCTGAGATGGGGGCATTGCTTGAGCCCAGCAGTTTGAGACTAACCTGGGCAACATAGTAAGACTCTCTCTACAAAAAATTTAAAAATTAGCTGAGTGTGGTGGCATGTGCCTATAGTTACAGCTACTTGGGAGGCTGAGGCAGGAAGATTGCATGAGCCCAGGAATTCAAGGCTGCAGTGAGCTATGATCACCACACTCCAGCCTGGATGATAGAGCAAGTCTCTTGTCTCCAAAAACAAAAGAAAGACAGACCAACATAGACCCATAATATGTGCTGATATGGAGAGATGCTATTTTATAAGCCATTTGCAGAGCATGTAAATGGTCATCTCCTTTGTAAATTAAAAATATATAATGTACAGAAGAAATCATTAACAGTGGGAGGTTGGGTTAGGAGGACTTATAGTTGTTGTTGTTGTTGTTGTTGTTTTTTGAGATGCTGTGTTGACATGTTGCCCAGGCTAGTCTCAAACTCATGCAATCCTCCAGCCTTAGCCTCCTAGATAGCTGGGACTATAAGTGCATGCCATCATGCATGACTTACTTTTAATTTTATATCCTCTCTAGTATTGTTTGAGTTATTTTTTACCACCACTGTGTACTACTTTTATAATTATTATTATTTTTCAAATTGGTAATTTAAAAATTACCCAGTTGGGGCCCAAGCATTTGAAAAGCTTTGTAAGCACCCGAGGTAGTTCAGCTGTGTGCTGCTGGTTAAGAATGACGGCTCCAGAGTCTTTCGGAAGCTTCTACTATCCTTTGGGAACCACTTCACCAAATACAAA